GGAAATGTTAAACTGCAAAAATCGGTGAATTTTGACTTTTGAATGTATTTTAAAAGGTTTTTTTTTCCATTTTGAAACATTAAAAGAAGTGTTTAAAAGTATTTAAGGTAGACCTAAAAAAAAAAACAAAAAATGTAGAGGAAAAAGGAAAGTATGTTAACACGGTGAAGAATAGGAAATGATAAAGTGATTACCGCAAAGAAAGTGCGAAAGGAAAAATTTAGAAGTTAATAAAATAATCCTTGGAGAAAAATTTGAATTACGAAAGAAAATCACAACAACAGCATGCAGCGACTCAACGAAGGCCTTCGGAGCAGCTCAAACAGCATCAGTGGCTGCTAAGCATTTGTTTGGTTGGTAGGTTTTTAAGTTAAAAGGAGATTAGGAGGCACGAATAGAGAGTGCTTCGGTTCCCTGGTTTCTTTTCGATAGATTTTACTTGTGTGCAAATTTTGTTATCTCGCGTGTTCTTTTGAATGTCCCTTTTGTACGGTTTACTCCTGAGGGCCATGACAAGCCGAAACGCCCCCCATGACTGAAGCAGCTGGAATGCTAAGGATTCTGCATGAGTTGGAGTTCAAAGGTTCATAACAATCCCTAAACGCGGCCGAAGGCCGCCTACGCAGAAAGGTGATCTCTGCAAAAGGTTTTCAGCCCCTCTTCTTCGCGCGATTTTTTATTACAAATTTTCGCCAGGAGCGCTATGTTGTTTTGTGATAAAAACCAATATATTATAAAACCTAAAAATTAAAGTAAAAAATTCTGCGAACTTACTTTTTGACATTATCTAATCATCTGACAGCACGTACCTCGTTTTTCAATTGCAACCCTTGCAATAGCCTATTACTTAAAAGAAAATGGTGATGTGCGGTAAAAGAGTTTACAATTAAGTCACATTAACCTATGATGAAACTTGATCAACATATTTGGTGAATTTCGCAACTTTAACAACAAATTACTTAAAAACAATACGAGTGCGCGGGGTGGGGTCTTCACCTTTAGAATCAAAAAGCATTTTGTAACCGAAAGCAAAGATTTTTTCCATTCAAGCTGTAAAGGTGCCACGCCCCTTATTTTTTTTTTGTACCAGCCTCGAACATACAGATAGTATTGGGAACATTTTTCGATTTGTGAGACCTAAAGCAATGTGTTTCGCATAGATTGCTATATCAGTTAGTGTAATACGCATGTCGGCACAATAGACTCCGATTTTGCAAAACCAGTCTTGAACCGACCGTCGTTGAGCTACATAACTTTGAACTGGAGTTATAGTGTGCAGACATGGCTCAATCGATTTCTCACATCATTTTAGCGTTTGGTTAATAAACCCTTGTAGTAAAGTGCGCTCGGATATAAAAGCACTGAAATGAATGGCTTTAATGTATTTAACGTTGTTCAGTGAGTAAGTTTCCATATTAAATAACAGTGTATTGAAAAGTACTGATTTTGATGAGTAGTAAAATGATCATGTACTGATTAATTTTTCGGCTTTACTTGCGTGATGCTGCATGTATATATGATTTATTCTTATCCTTGTAGAATGTTTTATGTACATTTTTTTTACAAGATGATTCTGACGAAAAAAATTACGTGAAGCGACCATAAAAATCACTTTCTTGCAGCAAAAGAAGTTTTACCTAAATAGTGCTGTTGTTGATATCATAAGCTCGTATTAAGACTAGCAATATAAATTGTCGCACTTACCAGCAATAATGTATAGAGAGTCATATTGAAAGTACCTATGTAGAGGTCGAACATCTTTTGCACTAGTTTCCTCATTCAATTTCCAAATTTGATTCTTCAGTATAATAAATATTATAGCTGTTAGATGTGCCGGCAACCATTGATAAAATTGCTGTACGATTTTCGCCATTGTACCCGCAACGGAAAACTTATAACTATAATTAAAGTAAAGTAATGAATTATCATTTTAAATTACTTCAAATAACCTGAAATGAAGCACTCAAATTATAGTCATAATGCCGAAATTCTACTAGGCATTAAGAGCTAACAATTTCATAGGCAAAGTTAAGCATTAAAAAAAATCATTATCATTATTAGGTCATTAACTTCGTTTCCAAGTGGCAGCTTTTAAATAACACAAATTTTTTGTCACTTCTGTGTCTAGTGGAAATCCAGTCATGTTTCCCAAAATTAAAAGTAATTGTTTTCTATGCTGCCGTACTGATTTAAAATGTGGGTATCTGCATTCGAAGTCAAATTAAACAAAACGCGTTTGTACTTGGTCCGTCCAATGTATGCTTTTTGTGTAAATGAAAACAACTGTTTTAGACTAATTCGGATGTCCTCTTTTTATTTATGCAAAAGAAACGTAAAATTTTGATTGCATGTATGCGGAACTGTAGATACATACGTTTTTCTCTCGAACGCAAAATTTGCGAGAAAACTTGTTAAAATACCAAATCTGCGCAGATGGCTTTTCTAGCTGATTTTGACTAAGTTTAGAAATCATTTGGAAAAACCAGATGAATTTTCTTTTTGGTTTTTTGACAGCGTTATATGTATATGAGTCGGTATATATCAAAACTGTATAAGTCTACAGACGAAATTTTTCCATATTATTGGTATAATACGTACTGACCGAATAAATAAATAGTTTAAACTAAAGCAATGTAACTAATTAATGTCGCTAAGATTAAAAAAACGCATTTAATATTAACTATAAATAGTTATAAGTGACTAAGTCCTACCATAAGTTTAAATCAGAATTGATTAAGTCCATTCCAGTCAATCATATTGTGTTCTGCTACTGTACATAGATTGTGACATATGCTTCGATATATATGAAACCTCCCTTAGTTCACCTTATTTTGGGAAATTTTGCTTCAAAACAATATGGCATTTTTTCAAACGTACTTAAGTCCAACAAACGACTTCTCTATTTTGAATATAGCTTAACTTTCCATACTTTTTTTTCGCAAACTGCTTCCAAGATCTATTTTGTAAACATTTTTAGAGTTTTGCAAAAGCTATGTAAAATATACAGCAAGAAAAGAAAAACCACAATTTCCTAAAATTGTCTCATGATGGACTTGGGCAGGTGTGATATGTATCGACTCATATGTTCTATTTTATTTCTAGAAAACTAAAATAAAAAAAGAAATGGAAACCAATAATACATATGTATTTTATTTGCATTTTTATCTTATTTGTTATTTATTTTGTATTAAAAGTTACATACGTCGTTCTGTAACATCAAAAATGCCTCCAATACTGCCAAAGAACGTGGGTATGTACATATGTACGTTGTTCTAAAAAACGATCGTTGGCCTCAAACGACCCAGAATACTTTTTAAAACGACGCATCTGCATACGGCATTGTAGATACGTTGTTTTTGATCAGTATGCAAGCTACAATTCCGGCTGAATTACTGAAAAAAGTGTAGATACTGCAAAATTTTTGCAGATACCCACGTTTTACATCAGGATTTCTCGAAAATTGCTGTAGATATTGCAAACGTGAAAATTTAAAACTTCAATAACTTTATCAATATTTATAATTTGAAAACTATTTTTGCATGCATAAATTCGTATTTTCAGGACGAATTCAACAATGTAAATAACTCATTTTCGAAGAAAAATTCAGATACCCACATTTTAAATCAATACGGCAGTATGTACGTACCTTATATGATATCGGCATACTGGATCCATAAATATTTCTAATGAAATGGGATTAATCGAAGAATTATAGCCAAAAGGGCTGGGAACTGGAGCATTAACATAAAATGGTTCAGCTGATGGATCTCTGTTTAAAATACAAATTTACCACTATATAAACAACTTCTTATAGTTTAATAGAAGATATCTTACCGAAGAATTTGGTATTTGGTAAAACCGGGAGCCCAGGGTATGCACATTTTAATAGCAATTTGACTCAAGCGCCCCATACAGGTTACTGGTTCAATTATCAATTCCATGGTTGGATATGTTTCTTCGAGACCTTAACAATTTTCATATAATTAGTTCGCAAATTATGGATGGTCCTCTCAATGTAAAATATTTATACAAAGCATTGACAACATGGGAATTGCTCTCTTAGTATGAAATCTCTTGGAGTTAGAGACAATCGGCCCTCTTATGGTTGTCGACGTCGATGCCATTTTTTCGTCAACAAAACAAGCCTCATCAGTCCAACTCCGGTTACGCAAACAACAGAAATTTTGCAAGGACCACCTTACCGCAAAAATACTATGGTCAGCGTAGCTGGAGTTGGACTTACGATATCTATTTTTTGACGAAAAAATAACATCGACGTCGACAACCATAACAGGGCCCGAATAAGTGCAAGGAGCATTAAATAAGTCTTTCGAACTGGCAACATTAATGTCATTTAAGCTTATTTGACATTTGCATCGCAAAATTTGACATTCTTTAGCACAAACATGCGGGTGGTAGCAGAAGAGAGGGAGGCCCCCACTGCGATGGAAAGACCAAGTGGAGAAGGACTTGACTTCACTTGGCATTTTCCAATTGGCGTCAGTTGGCACAGAAGAGCAACGACTTGCGTGCTTTGTTTAACTGAACCAAAATCACGTAGGCGGTTAGACAGCCAAAGAAGAAGAAGAAGTACTGTTTTCTTTACCGTCACTTCACAGTTTCAAGTTAACAAAATAAGGTTTTCGTTGGCTGACGTAGATTAACACAACAAAAGTGCATCATAAACTTGTTTAGATTTTTGTTGATTAAGGACCATGAAGACCCCACATAATCTAACAATACGAGTATGTAGTTAAGGTTCAGATAGTAATAGGTGACAAGAATTGGATACATGCAAATGAGCCTGAAATAAAAGTACATTCAACTGTATGGATTGTTACACCAGCTTCGTTCCTTTCTAAACGCGCAACTCGGGTGAAATTTTCCTTTGGCGACTTAAGCAACCCTGTTGGTATCTGGCAAGAAACATGTGACTAGTTTAATGAGATTTATAACAAAAACCAATGAAAATTAGTAATATTGAGAGCTATTTTCGTAATATATATACCAGGGGTGGGCAATACCGAGTTAGAAAAGAGCTACATTTAAATACTAAATGCTACAAAGAGCCACAAAAAACAACAAAAACGAAAACTTTATTTTTATATAACATTATTATTAGAAATGAAAAACATTACGACACGAAAACTTTATTTTTATATAACATTATTATTAGAAATGGAAAACATTAATTTTATTATTATTCTAATGTACGTAAGATAGATATTAAAGAAAATTTAAAAGATCCATTTGGCCAAATTTTCATAACCTGGTTTTACGTCAGTTAAAGCCGTTCGTAACAGTTCTGTTAAATGTTGGTTAGTCAATAGGTCCGTTCGTTAAAAATCTCCAGTAAAAAATGTCCACCAGCAAAATTCCGCCGAAATGTCATCTGTTCTCTTACAAAAGAAAAATATCCAAAATAGTACGCGAACAGAAAATTTGCAGAAACTTGCAAGTTAGACGAACAGCTGATAGAAATTTTGTTGACATTCAAAAGTATAAAATTGATAACGTAAGAAAACAAATCCTGACACAGTTCACTGACTAAAAGAATAATTACTTACTTCTTACAAGTTTAATTAGTCGCATTTTACTATTTTAACTTCCAAACCATCAAACTCAAGTTAGATTCCAATCAACTGTTTTTGATCAGCTGTTTTCTTGTTGGCAAATTGCTGTGGGCAAAAATTTACACTACCTAGAAACTACCAGCTTTCCCTCAAAATGAAATGTCATTTTGCTCTCTCAATTTCCCCTACTTTGCAAGTTTTTTGCTTACACGAACACAAAAAGCTGATAGTTTTTTTAAACTTCAATAACTATTAGGTACGCAAATGCAAATAATTGTGCACGGTATTTTGACTTTACGAATTTCATTGCAGAGTACACAGTTATTCGTACTTTTTGCCGACAATTCAAGCAATGGCAAAGCTTTATGTTCCAGTTCCAGTGCCTTATCTTCTTTTAATTCCAAAAACACCAACTCTTTTTCGCTTTTCTTAAAAAGGAAAGTTTCGGATATGGTGAATTCATCCTCAATTATGTTACACAAAAGAGGGTTTATGAAGTATGCAAACGTTCTTCTTCTTCTTCTTCTTCTTCTTTTTTGGCGCTGTAACCGCCTAAGCGATTTTGGCCGAGTTCAGCAAAGCACGCCAGTCGTTTCTACTCTGTGCCAACTGACGCCAATTGGAAACGCCAATTGAAGCCAAGTCCTTCTCCACCTGATCTTTCCATCGCAGTGGGGGCCTCCCTCTTCCTCTGCTACCACCAGCGGGTTCCGAGTTGAATACTTTCAGAGCTGGAGCGTCGGTGTCCATTCGAACGACATGGCCAAGCCAGCGGAGCCGATGTATTTTAATTCGCTGCACTATGTCCATATCGTTGTAAAGCTCATACAGCTCATCGTTTCATCGTCTGCGGTACTCGCCGTCGCCAACGCGTAAAAGCCCGTAAATCTTCCGCAAAATATTTCTCTCGAACACTCCAAGAGCCGCCTCATTGGATGTTGTCATTGTCCATGCTTCTGCGCCATATACCAGCACGGGCACGGGATGAGTGACTTATAGAGCGCGGTTTTCGTACGTCGAGAGAGGACTTTACTCCTGAATTGCCTACTCAGTCCAAAGTAGCACTTGTTGGCAAGAGTGATTCTACGTTGGATTTCAATGCTGACATTATTATCGGTGTTAATGCTGGTTCCCAAGTAAACGATTTTCTCTACTTTCTCGAAATTGTAACTGTCAACAGTGACGTGGGTGCCAAGGCGCGAATGTGCTGACTGTTTGTTTGATGACAGGAGATACTTCGTCTTGTCCCCCTTTACCACCAGACCCATTCGCTTTGCTTCCCTATCCAACTTGGAAAAGGCAGAACAAACTTCGCGGTTTTTGTTACCGATGATGTCGATGTCATCGGCATAAGCAAGCAATTGCACGCTCTTGTAGTAAATTGTTCCTGAGCGGTTCAGTTCTGCAGCTCTTATTATCTTCTGCAACATCAGATTAAATAAGTCACATGAAAGGGAGTCGCCCTGTCTGAAACCCCGTTTTGTGGCGAACGGCTCGGAGAGGTCTTTCCCAATTCTGACGGAGCTGGTGGTATTGCTCAACGTCATTTTACACAGCCGTATGAGTTTTGAGGGGATGCCAAATTCAGACATAGCGGCGTATAGGCAACTCCTTTTAGTGCTGTCAAAAGCGGCTTTAAAGTCGACAAATAGGTGGTGAGTGTCGATCCTTTTCTCGCGGGTCTTTTCCAAGATTTGGCGTATTGTGAATACCTGGACTATGGTGGATTTGCCAAGTCTAAAGCCACACTGATAAGGCCCAATCAGTTCACTGACAGTGGGCTTCAGTCTTTCCCACAATACGCTCGATAGGACCTTGTAACCTATGCTTAGAAGGCTGATCCCGCGGTACTTGGCGCGAATGGCGGGGTCAACTTTCTTGTGGATTGGGCAGAGCACACTTAAATTCCAGTCGTCGGGCATGCGTTCATCTGACCATATTCTGCACAAGAGTTGATGCATGCACCTTATCAACTCCCCGCCGCCGTACTTGAATAGCTCAGCTGGCAGGCTGTCAGCTCCAGCGGCTTTGTTGTTTTTCAGCCGCGTTATTGCTATACGTACCTCGTCATAGTCAGGCGGTGGAACGTCGACTCCGTCATCATCGACTGCGGGCTCGGGTTCTTCTTCTCCACAACTTTCCGTGCTGCTACCATTTAGCAGGGCGGAAAAGTGTTCCCTCCATAATTTAAGTACTCTGGACATCAGTTACTAGGTCGCCATTATTGTTCTTACAGGAGTGCGCCCCGGTCTTTAAACCTTCCGTAAGTCGGCTAACTCTCTGGTAAAATTTTCGGGCATTCCTCCTGTCGGCCAGCATTTCAAGCTCTTCGCACTCACGTATTTCGGCCTCTCTCTTCTTATTGCGACAAATACGTCTCGCTTCCCTCTTCAGATCCCTATAGCGGTCCCACATAGCCCGATCGCAGCGTGGCCCTGTAGGCGGCATCTTTTTTCTCTGCAGCTTCCTGACACTCCTCATCGTACCAGTTGTTCTTTCGGGCTCGCTTAAATCCGAATACTTCTTCGGCGGCGGTACTTAATGAGCGGGAAATGTGGTTCCACTGCTCGCATATGTCTGTTTGTTGAAGAGTGCTCTCTGAGAGCTGGTGTGAGATTTGAGTAGCGAAAGCGCTGGCTGTCTGTTGTGATTGCAGCTTTTCGACGTTAAGCTTTCCTTGCATATTTGGGCGCACCTTTTTTGGTGCACAGAGGCGGGTGCGTATCTTGGCTGCAACAAGATAGTGGTCCGAGTCGATGTTTGGGCCTCGGAGTGTGCGTACGTCTAAAACACTGGAAGCGTGCCTTCCGTCTATCACAACATGATCGATTTGGTTTCTCGTTTTTCGATCCGGAGACAGCCACGTAGCTTGATGGATCTTTTTATGCTTGAACCTAGTACTGCATACTACCATGTTTCGGGCCCCGGCGAAGTCATCAGCCTCAATCCGTTGTCGGACGTTTCGTCGTGGAGGCTGAATTTTCCGACGGTGGTTCCTTCCTTGCCCACCCTGGCATTGAAGTCGCCAAGCATGATTTTGATATCATGATGGAGGCAGCGCTCGTACATGCGCTCCAAGTGCTCATAGAAGAGACCCTTGGATGCCTCATCCCTCTCTTCCGTCGGGGCATGGGCGCAGATGAGCGAGATGTTGAAGAATCTCGCTTTGATGCGGATTGTGGCTAGACGCTCGTCCACCGGGGTGAACGACAGTACTAGGCGACGGAGTCTCTCTCCCACCACAAATCCAACTCCGAATTTGCGCTCCTTTACATGGCAGCTGTAGTAGACGTCGCAAGGCCCCAGACATTGTTTGCCTTGCCCCGTCCAACGCATTTCTTGGATGGCGGTGATGTCAGCTTTTGTCCTTACGAGGACATCAACCAGCCTGGCAGAGGCACCTTCCCCATTAA